TATTTATTTATTTATATATATATATATATATAGGTGTTACGAATTCTCACACTTTTAAGTATATGAATGTGAATGAACTATGAAATGAAATGTATTACAAATATTAAAGCAATTTAGTTAGACTAGTTCTTCACACGCTAGCTCCTGATTCTATAACTAGGATGAGTGCTGATGAGAATTTGGTCTAGCTGAGTCATTCGCCCCTAACGCGCCACAGTTAACCCTAAATTGGGGGTTAATCTAGGGGTTACACTCGCATGTGCAAGGAAAAATTAAGCATCATTTCCGCTTCTTGAAAAACTATCTACAATAAAAAACAATACTTGTGAAACTTCATTGTTGTAGATGTACTGATCATGCAAATCTTCTATACATACCCAAGTCAAAATTATTTGTACAATGGCTCATAAAGAGAGGCTTTATTTGGATACTCAGAAAGACAGAGATGTAAAGAATAATAGAAGAGTATCTAACTCACAATTCTCATTGAAGCCAAGCATTAATTTTACAATTATTATATTTCCAGGCTCATAGTTAAAGAAACCAGACATTGCAACAGATTCCTTATTACAGTTCAAAGAACAACAATCAAACTGTTCACCCTAATAAATACTAAATCTGCCTGTTAGGATATAGATTTCCATATTACAAACCGGAACCATCAATCCCACAAAACATGAGTATACCCTGGCTGCATCCATACCAAAATGGGCAAAACTTAAGTCTGAGAAAGCCGAACAACTAAATTGAGTAAATACAAGATTTTCAGCTAACGTACACACGAAGCATAATATAAGTAAATGATCACAATACACTAATAATCAAGATCAAGATTCATGATATGCGTGAATCAGATAAAACTACCAGCAAATTTGACTAGTACTGAATGTTAGAAACTATGCAACTTCCGAGTTCCTTGACTTCTAGATCAAGTTAAGAATCAAGGTAATCAAGGTTGCAAAAATTCAAGTGATTTAGAAGATATTATTAAGTTTAGGTAATTTAATCAATTTATGCTTTGAATTTTCGTTGTCCTATACTATTTATGTTAGATGAAGCTAAAAGTAAGAGTAAGAAGGCATCTGGGTATGGAAGGAACAGAGTGATTGTGTAATTGGAGTAAAGTGGTTGTCAATAAATACAAACCAAAAGCCCCACATCAAATTAGTGAGTTTTCTCTTATTAATTATATTATTCTTTGATTATTTTTAAAAAAAGGAGAAGTCATGGCATGCTTCAGCGCTGTTGTTTATCAACTATTTATCCAACCATGATCTTGGGATTGCAATTTTGTCTCTCTTAATAATTCCAACAAACAAAAAACAAGGCAAGAAAACATACCTGAACCAACTGTGTTACTTCAGCTATAATATATGAATTAGTTGGAAATCTTGATGTTAGGCAGCAAGCAATGCGAGGATCAACAGAAAATGCAATCTTTGCATGTTCAATCCATCTTTCTGAGCTAATTTTATTACGAAAGGATGAGTTATCTCTGTAATAATTGACCAAAAACCATCAGGCAGTGCTCCACAAATAAGAAAAAGCCAGTCAAAGCACAAGATATTTGATAAAAGATACTTTGTGTTTAAAGGTTGTGACCACACTTCAAGCCTATCTGCCTCATGCTGGCATAGCATGGCAAGTAGCTGCTTCCGTTTCTCTCTTCCAGAAGCATAGTCATCCATATGTCCCCAGACAGGATGATATAGATCTGTCTATAAATGAAAAATATTCAGCATACAGGATGCTTAGTGCAATAAGATAAAAACTAAAGGCAAAATGAAAGTAGAAATATTCCATTATCCAAGACTTCTTACCATGTTATTCAATTCACTTTCACATCCTTTGCCTTTCAAAGATGAATCAGTTGAAGATGTTGACACAGAATCTGTTTTCTCATTCAAAAGATGATGAACAACTAAAGAAACAGACTGAGCCTCGCTCTGTGCAAAACCCTTATCATTTGACTCATACCACTCTGGCTCACAAGCAAACCAACCCAATGAAGCACTGAAACATACAAAGTGTCCCTGAGGATCCAGAACTTATGGAAATAACTTCCCTAGTTAAATATAAGTGGCTATTCAGATAAACACTTGAATATTAGTAAATGTTGGAAAGCATGGAGTGACATTCCAATCTAAATAACAGAATTGAATGGAAAATATAATTGGGCAGGGAGCAATCTAAATAACAGAATTGAATGGAAAATATAATTGTGCAGGGAGAAAGCATTCACTTTAAACAGATTACAGCAAAAATTAAGATAACTGAGACACAAGCCCTAAAATGGTAGAAAATCACACCAATTGCCAAAAGAAGTTATAGAGTTGAGAGGAGAGCATACTTACCGAAGAACACGGTCTTCGAGCAGATGAAGCCCAATTTTACAGTTCTGGAGATTGCTCTGTGATTTACATGAGCAAAATTTTAATCCAAGTAGAATAGCGGTGAAGAAAGTGCCAGTTGCTGCCGGGTGTTTAGAAAAATGATATGGTGATTTCATCGTTTCTTGCAACATTCGACCAAAGAACAAAAGTTGCTCCATACTATCATGTCGAACTACCTATAAAAAATCCAATCTAAAATGAAAGATAAAAAAGTAAAAGATTCTCTATGTTACCACTATGAATAACCAGGCAGCATTAAGGAGAAATACAGACATGATTTAAAGAACACACCAGAACCATGGGGCATTTTATAAACAACATTTCCACAAAAAAGGTTAACCATGTTAATCAAGCATGTGTAATTATAGTTAAAATAACTATAATAGTGAACTTAAATAGTAATATGAAACAAAAGAGCAGACAGAGAGACAGGACCAAGATAAATAACCTCAAAGCGATCAATAAAAAAACCAAGCCAGAGTTTATGGGCCATCAATCCTTCAACAATGTCCTTCTCAGGCTGTGGTTCTGGTTCTCCAGGAATGAGGTGAGGCCTTAATTTTGCAGCAGGACCAGAATATCTCATTTCAGAAGCAAACAGACCACGTTTTGTATCTATTGTCCACAACCATGCATCAACAAGTTCTGCAAGGACAAGTGGCCCAAAAGAAGGTTCTGACGAAACAAGCCAAGTCCAAATAAATATTCCTGTTTCCATTGCATCTGGCGTTGAAATGTAAGCAGGACACCAACAAAGAAGTCGTAAAAGCTGTGAGAAGCCTTCTATTTTCAATCTAGACTCAGAAGCCTGTACATGCATCTTCATATTAAAATTTAAGCATCTAAAAAAAGGAAAAGCATTATTTCCCATAATTACGGACATTGAACACAAAGGACAGAAGGATAAAGATTTACCATCTGTGAAAGAAGTAATGCAGTAGCCTGAGAACAGGTTTCTCGAAACAAGGATTTATCTACAGTGGCACCTTTCTCGGCAGTGCCAACAAATTGTTGAAGCAGCTGGACAAATTTTGCTAGGAGAATCTCATTAAAAGAAACTCCTTGAGATTGCGGAGGTCCAGTTCCTAAACCCAACATGCCTAAATGAAAACCTCCTATATTATTGTACAGCCTTCTCATACCAGCAATCTCCCCAGCATGGTTACACTTCACCGTTGCACTCACAACTGCAGTTGATAAAACTTCCAAAATGAAGCCATCCGAAACTTTCTTCTTTTCTCCTGAGGCAGCAGTAGAAGCTTCTATGACTGCAGGAATATTTGCAGTCCTGATCCCACTCCAGCAATCATTTTTCCCAGAACAAATTCGGATTTCAGACAAAAGGGAAACAATATCGGATGCATGTTGTGTTTTTTGTAGTCCATTAAGCTTGCAGAGAAATTCCTGGTATAACAATTTCAAACAGCAAAAGGACAAAATAGCAACATAAAGAAATTTCAGGTAACAGTAAACATAAATAAGACACGAAAGATTGCTTCTATAATAAGAAAAAGAAAACTGTACTATGAATCAAAATTCCAGTTTTTATAACCTAGAAATGGCTAATAAATTTTTCTTTTGCAAAAATGAATGGCAGTATAAGATCATACATAAAATAAAATGCAGCAAATGGAATAGATCACAAGAACAAAATATATCTCAAGAAACTTTAATAATTCTGTGTTGTTGAAAGATCATACATAAAATAAAATGCAGCAAATGGAATAAATCACAAGAACAAAATATTTCTCAAGGAACTTTAATAATTCTGTATTGTTGAACCAGCACAAAAGTTGTTTGTGCCCACATAAATATTTGAAACGCTTCATTTGATAAACTTGTGCTGTTGAAAAATCCAATTTTGTATGAAACAATGGCACATTTTTTTTATACTCAGAGATAAAAATAACTTCACAGATGTTTCTCATTGTCATGAAGCCATGGATGAGGAGCACGTGTCATAGACTGCTTCACATTGTAAATTAAACATGTGTTTCTAGTTTATTTTTCTAATTATGCCATGCCCTTCGAGAATTTTATTCAAATAGTTAATGCGACTGCGATTCTTTAGGTTTAAAAGGACTTTAGTGCCATATCTGGTTTATTAATTATATCATAGGTCCTTTCCCACTTTCCTTCACGGTTGTCTACCTATGAAATAAAGAGCATAATTTCATCAAAGTTACACAAATTCAGCTGTTTCAACACATGAAACCCAATCATATGTATGTATATGTGTGTACATGTATGAATATATATATATATATATATATATATATATATAAAGCCATCTCTCTTCTATGGTTTCGCCTCACGGTGATTCCCTCCTTTGAATC